TGATGTGTTTTCTCCATATCCTTCTTTTTATCCTTCTGCCATGAGCTTTCATTAATCTTTTTTCTTTCCAGGCTAGACACTCCTGAGCTTTGCAATTCTATTTTCTTGTTAGAGGGTGCTTCTGTGACAGGCCTAGGAAAACTTCCATCCTCTGTCCCTGACAGGTTCTGAGATAAGCTAACCAGCCTGGAATGCTCACTTGAGGCTCCACCACTGCAACAGCTTTCAGACTAGATTCAGTGTCATTCACCACTCCATTTCTAATGCTGTAGAACAGGAGAAACTACTCAGGAAATGAGTTGGCAAGGCTGTAGTCAGTGCTAACACACTCAGGGGAGATCCCCTTGGGCAGAGACCACACAAGCTTTAACCTTGGGCTCTGCCCTGGCAGCGGTGCCAACCCCGGCCCTCTTCCCTCACTCTCAACTCTTTGGCCCCTCCAGCCCCTCTGCACTTCCCAGTACAAGTGTCAGCCCATTGAGTTTCCCTGATGGACACTCTTCCCCTGCCCTTGTCCATCTTGAACGGTAGCTGCAGGGTATAAACAAGTGTCCAGATGTTTCCCTGTCCTCTTTGCTCTTCTTGGGTCATGTCAATCCTAAACAGCACAACCACATTCAGATGAGATGCAGACACTTAAAAAAATGACAGCCTTCACTTGTCTCATCAGAAGAGCTCAGCAGGGTCCTGCCTTTTGTGTGTGGCTGGGTGGAAAATGCTGCTCAGCCTGCAAACCTGAGGCTCGGCATGCCTTTCCCTCAGGGAAGGAGATCTGGCAGGTGCCTCTAGATGAGAGACCCTAGCAAGGAGTGACAATGCATTCTGAGGGGATGTTTTGCATCAGGAGAGTGGCCCAGCTCAGGGCTTCACAAGAGAGCCAGGCTATGCCTCCCTGCTGCCCACCCCGACTCCTGTTTTGCACCCTCTGCAATCCATGAGCAGCATCCTACTGCTGTCCCTCCTCTTCCCGACCAGAATGCTGCTTTGCAGACCGATCTTCCCAGTGATCTTCCTGACGCCCCTGTTTACCCAGCAACTTTCGCTCAAACAGGCAGGCAGGGCTCCCCGGCTCTTGCCGGGGCTTTTCCCGAGGGAGCGGGTCAGGCTGGATCCCCCCAGAACCTTCCTGCGGCCGGAGCTGCGCTGCGCTGCTGCGGGCCGGCGGCTGCACAACCTGCTGACCAAGGGGGATTTTGTGTGCAGCGATTTTGTGCCGTCAGTCAGGCTCAGGCACAGGCTGCCGGGCACACCATCACACCCACATTGCCATCTAGCCTCCCGCTCGGGGACGTGCAGCTCGCCGCCCGCAGCCCCGCCAGCCGAGCGAAGCATCTCCGGCTGCATCGCCCCCAATGCGGCTGAGGTTTCAGCTCTCTCCCCCTCCTCCCAGCCCCCAAAGTCACCAGCTGCCTCCCCCAGCTCTGGGGTCCCTCCACTCTGCTGGCACGGCGCCACGAGATGGGGCCGCCTGTCTCCCAGCCTCAGTCTCCAAGCAGATGGAAGACATCAGCCCCCTGGTGCATCCTTCCACGATAGTCTGTCTCGCCCGCTTCCTTTCAGGGACACTTCTTCTCACGGCCAGTAAATCCCCAGTGCTTGCCTGTCTTTTTCCACACCCCAGCCTCATCACATGTCTTTCATGGGCAAGCATCTTCCCAAAGGCCATCTCTCCCTACCCATGCAGGATGCCCTAAAAAAAGACACCTCTTCCCCAGCTCCCATGGAAGAATGTCTGGGCACAAAGTCCCCACTATCACCAGCAAATAGGCACCCTCTTGGGAGCTTCAACTGATGCAAATCCTACATCCAACTGCATGGGAATGTACACTAACCCCAGGACCCAGTTGGAACTGAACGGGGGGCACATTTGTAACAAGGCAAGAAGATTCCAGGACTCTGCCTTTGGCTTCCCCTTCCCTTTGCAGCAGGTGGCAGCTCCCCCAGAAGCTGTACAGGAGATGAGAGAATTCTTCCTAAGCATATGTCACTCTGGAAAACTTTTTCATTTATGATATAGAAGCATGTTAATGGCAGAATAATAAACAGAGACCAGGGGAGAGAATGACCTTCTGGCAGCAGCTGAAATAGGAAGCGTTTTGGTTTTTCTTACCTCCTCTGAGGGAATCATTCCACCTGCCTGTACCCATCCTTTAAGAAAAGGACCTGCAAAAAGAACTGCTACACAGACAAGAAATCACATCTGCTTTCCTAGTAGGATGGATGCAAAAGTAAAAGCCTCCCATTTGGAGAGAGTTAAGCCTCAGTGGATCCCAAAGAAGGATGCCCCAAGCCAGAGCCCAGGAAAGCCAGTAGCTGCCCCCAAAACAGCACTGGCTCGCTGCTTAGAAGGCTCTGGAACAGAGCAGAGCGTAGCCTGGAAGTTGAGAGCAAGCAGCTATTATCCCTTGTGCAGAAACGAAAGAGGGGACCTGGAAATGAGGATCCTTGAACAGGGTTTGCTCATAGGAAAAGCCTGGAGAACCCACATCAGCCTGGCAAGGCCCCATCCATCTGCCCCTGCCTGCATAGGCTCTGCAGCCAGAGGAGCAGGACCTGACCATCCTGCAGCCATGGCATGGCCCAATCAGTGGGATGAGTGGCAGCAGGCTATGGGCTCATCCACAAGCCTGACCCTTTCCCCTTGGAGGGATACTGCTACAGGCAGCACCTGGAATTTGCCAAGCACAGAGCTGTCAACATAGGCCAGGGATTTCTGCTGAGACTATATTCCTCACCAGAGAAGACAGGTAAAAACTGCAGGGGATGCACTATGAGATATGCTTATCTTAGCTGTCTGCATGTCTGCTTATTAAGCTCTGAGATTAAGGATTTAGTTCCACACATATCAGTTTACATAGAACTAAAGCATCACTTCACATTTTAATCTCAAGTACGCTGCATTGTCTTGCCTGCTTCCTCTCGTGCCCTCTCCCCATGACCTCTTCCTCAGCAAAATGCTGGAAAGTTATTAGCAAATATTATGTGAAATGTTTAATATCCAAACAGCAGGGTCTGGCATCCCATGAGAGATTCATAGCCCCTATGGTCAAGAGAAGAAAAACAAGGATTGTTTGCAGGCGCCCAGGTCCTGCTGGTTGATGCTTTGAGGCTGGAGTTGTTGCCAAGCAAAAATCTCGCAGTAAAGTATCCCTTCAGACAAGTTATAAACCAGGCTAGGCAGGAATGAAGTATTCAGCTGGGGTGAACCCTGCTTTGGCTCTACCCACAGACTGTGCACAGAAACAAAATACTCCGTACAAGTGCTAGTTCAAATTCTATTCTCCAGCACTGTGTAAGTGGAAGGCATCTTCGTCTTCTGTTCTCAAAAGCACTTACATTAAGGAAGGCTGAGCTCCTTCTGTCTGCAGGAAGGCTGGGAGAGACGTGTCAACTGGCTTATGATTTATTTAAAAATTATTTTATAATTTGTTTATGTGTTTATCAGGGTTGGAGGAGTTTCAAAAGTTGCAGAAAGTTTTATAAAATGAGACCACAGAGCAATTGAGTGGCATAAACACTTTCCCTAAAAATGTGTAAAATCATATACCCTTTTTCTACTCCAAATATGATCCAGAAACAAAATCTAACCATGAAAAAAAGGCAATGGACGATGTCCGAGACATCAGGCTGTCTTTGTGACACCGAAGCAAACCCCACCCAAGGGAGGGAGGGTAGTCACACTTATCGCTGTGACTGCCACGCAGAGTTTGCTCACTGCCCCACTTAGAAAAACAGCATAAACATTTCCGAGCACACAGTTCCTCCTGGAAGTTGACTGCACTCAGATTGACTGGAAACACTGACTTCAGCCAGGCAAGCATCTGCTCTGCTGCCATTGGGCAGACACCTATAGAGGAGGCAAGTCCAGGGCTTAAAGGCAATGCCCATGGGGTGCAGAGGACTTGGAGCAGCAGACCAAACATTCCCCAGCCCTTGGACAACAGCAAACAAGGAACATGCTGCCAGCAGCAGATGATTCTGCTTTCCCACAGAATGGAGTTCACAGGGAAGTTTTACTTACTGGGAGAGTGCCTTTACTTAAAGGTTAATATTGAAATTAAACCTATAGTATAATCTTTGTGTGTTAGCTGGAGTAACGGAGTTTAAGGGGATCCAGGGCTCACTTTTTCCAGTAACAATGCGGATTTCACAGTCGGAACCATGGAGCAGATACATCTGCAAGGAGTAACTGGAATGTGCAACAGCTCAGCACTGCATTCTTTAAATCTTCACACTGAGGCAATGCAGAGCCAAGGTAAGGAGCTTTCCCAGCATAACAGGAAGAGGAGACAGCAGGGCAAGGAGCAGCCAGTCACCACGGAGGAATTGGCCTAACTCCTGCTGATTGCACCCCCTGCACCCTCTTCCCCAGCACTGCTATGTCTGGGAATGCTCTGCACTGATGTCCCTTCACTAGCCATAAGCACCGAGTTTCTCTGCTCAGATCCGTGGCTCCTGGATCCCAACCAGTCCTGAAAGCAAGAGTAGCATTTGCTCATTGCTATGCTTAAGCTTAGGAAACTGGACAAAGCCAGCCTCACCAAGAACCCACCAAACATGATGTCCAACAATGGTCCCAAGAAGTAGTCCAAAAGGAAGCTTCTTTCTGTGGACCTTTCAATCTGAACCCAGCCCCTGCATTAATCTGAGAACAGTTTTCAGGGGTTGGTCAGGTGGAGAGCATAGGCTGCATCTCAGCTCACCCTTTGTCTCCCGCTTCAGCTCCCTGATCTCTGGTATGCACACACCACTGATGCTGCAGGCCACATGCCCTCCTGATTCTAACTGTTCCTAAATACTTCTCTTAGGCAAAGACAGAAACTTAGTTTTTTTATTGAATGTGCCCAAAGCACCCATAGTTCATTATGTATCTCTCCTACTGTATTACTTGTGAATCCGTTTTGTAGACTCCCAGTATCACTGGGCCAGGGATTGAGTCTTGCTCCTGGGGAACTGCAAAAACACATATAGGGAAAAGAGAGCATAAGCAATACAGGACAAAGATTTTCATGTTCTCATTTTAATGATGACAGACCAGATTAACACCACAGGAGGAGTAAGGGCGAAGGACCATTTCCCAAACATACTGCAGGTGCTCTGTGAAATAAATTTACCTTCTTCTGGAGAAAAAGAAACTATCTCAATATTTAAATTAGTTACTTGAAATTCTTAAAAGGGAGGAGACATTCTTGATGAACATCAGCTTTTTAATGTTTCACAATTTCTGGAAAAGGACAAAGGAACAGCTACTGTATCAAAGGATTGCTGAAGGCCTCTCTTAGGATTCATACAAAGTTGCGGGCAATGGCCAATACTTTGGAGAACTCGCCTTCTCTTCTTCGCAGTGTATAGGGTATTGGTGTTTTTATTCTAGTCCCTATTGGATTTCCATTATCTTCTATCAGTACCACATTGTTGGAATCAAATCTAGGTGTCATGGTGGGGCCGGGCATCTTGTGCCCTACAATTAAAGCCTTCTTCTTTTCTCCTTTGATAGCCAGAAGGATCTTATCTCCGACTTTTCCAACCCCAGTCTTGTTATACACGTGGATACATTTTGGTGGCCGGTGGTACGGTGTGTTCCCCAAGGTGCTGTTGTCCACCACTCGCACACGGGTTAGTTTCTGTATTGCTTGGCATGCTCCAGTGATGCTACCAAAAGACAGGAGAGAATGAGAGACAGATCTCCTCAATAATCCTCGGGGAGCAAAGGCAAACCAAGCACAGAATCTCCCACAACCCACTCAGAAAGCACCTGCAACAAATATATACTATATGGGTGACACACTGACTGCATTCAGTGTGCTCTTTGAAAGCCAGATGCTACTTTTGGGCTTTGCATATTCTTTACTAAATGTCAAATATAAAACGACCTTACTACTCCAAAACACAACTAAAAGATTGCGTGAAGAGTGATTTGTGTATCATGGGCTTTTTAGCAACTGCAGATGATCCAGCTTCAATCTAGAAGCAAAAAATATGTGTTCACTTCTGTTTCAAACAGCCTGCAGGAAGCTAAGACTCAAGTCAGGCTCTTTCAATCTTGCATAGTCCCCACCACTAAGGACTTTTATGACCAGCTTTCCTTCCAGTGAAGTCTGTGAGTCTCACAGCTTATTTTGCTCTCAGTAAGACCTCTGATGTCCTGCTGTGGCTGTGCTAAGCTGGTTCCAACTAGAATCTAAGAGATCACCACCTTCCCTATGTGGAAGGAATCCAGAGAGACATAATCTCTTCTATATGCTTGCTTTGTGCAACAAAAATAAACTGCACAATACTAAGTTGTTATGTCTGACTGAATATACTTGGGAATGGCAGGAACATATGCCCTTACAAGAAATCATTATTCTTTTATTCAGGGAGCTCAAATTCAAGTGATTTGCCTTTCTTCAAAGGACATCCAAACACAGATCATTGGAAAAGCAGGAAGATCCTCTCTGCTGCTAAACAACTGCTTTGCAATGAGGTTCTAGAAACATGCTGGCCAGAGCTGCAGGAATGGCAACTTGCTGCCAGCTGAACTACTCAGTGACAGCATATCAAAGCAACCCAACCATTCATTTTGTTTTTAGAGCAGAAGCATGTGAAGTAAATAGCGACCATCAACCCTCCTTGAAGAGGAAGGGCCTGTATTTGCAAAGCTACCTAAAAGATGAGCATGTACACCAAATGTGGTGTGGATGGACATCAGTTGAAGCAGGTACTTTTACACATGGTGAAGAAGGCCAGCAGAGTCAGTCTGCATTAGTCCAACTGCTCCAGCAGTCAAGCACTGCCTTCCAAGATCTATTTCCCACAGTAGAGGCCTACTTGAGCTTTCTTCTTTCTCTCAGAATTCACTAATCTCTGCAAGCAGCCACCCTCTCCCATCCCCATACCCCATTAAGTTTTTTGAAGTCGTATTCAGCTCTATGGACTGGACTTCACCTCCCTGTCATTATCACTTATATATGGTTTAAATGTATACTGGCCAATGCAGCCCACTTACAGAGAAGGACAGGAAGACCTGGATACCTCCTTGAGATAGCTCCAAGGACTATCACATGTAGCTGTGTTTATGCCACGTCTCCTTAACTAGCCCTGAGCATTGCCTTAATCCCCCCTCTAGACCACAGTCCTGGGAATGACTACTCTCATCCTTTAAACTGAAGCCCTGACCCTTGAAAGAGTTATAGAGATTCCCCAAATTGGCAAGAGTGTACTGTGGGATTAAGTTTTGCACAAGGCATTGTAAAATATGAAGTCCATAAATTTGAAACTTTAAATGCCTAGAGTCTGGAACAAGAAACAAAAGAAAAATAACAAAATAGAAACTGTTGATGTGTGAGAATGTATTTTCAGATTATTTTTATTCTAAATAACTTGAATGATAAAGCAGGGGCTCAGTGTTCTTTTTTTTTGCACTTGCATGAGAAACAGACACTTTCAACTTCGACTTGCAGGCCCATGTACTGCTGTCAAAGGCCTAAAAGCCTTCTTACACACATATGAAAATGCAGAGTTCAGACTACCAGGAATCTGCAAGTGAAGTGTCTGGGCTCACTTTTCAACCTATTAAAGGACAACTGTGAGATTTTTCTTTTACTGTATTTTGAATTATAAATGCTGTATCTTATTCTTGATCTACTTAACAGCATCTCTTTCAATCATTAAACATTCTGAAGAAAACAGAAGCAAAATTTAAAAGTTACCTGAACTGTCGTTGGATCACAGCACTGCTTAGATGGGTTAAAGATAAACCAAATCGTCCATTCAAGAGAGCCATTTGGTAGCCAACGCTGCATAAAATACAAAAGAATTATTAACGCTGGAAAATGGACAGAATTTGGTTTGCTTTCTTTCCTTTACATAGGAAAGGAAAGGCCCACACTAGAGCCTCAGCACCTATTTAGACGCTGCAATCCACAGGACAGAGTGGTAGCAGCATCTGCAGCACACTATAAGCAGATCTACAACCCCTGCCTGAATTCAGGAGACAATGTAATTCAGACACAGACTACAAAGCTGGATTCAGTATCACTGCATTGCAGTTTCCTACACACAGAGGTAAAGGCCCTTCTGTGTGCTCCGAGAATCACGTAACAAGAAGCAGGTTTGAGAATTTCAGATATGAACTGGTTCAGAGGCTGCAGTGCCCAGTAAAAGCCATCATGGTTACTTTTAAAAGCTACCAAGGTTACCCACAAAACCAAGCAAAAGGCCAAATAACCTACAGACTGGCATCACAGATTCAGGAAACAATTTGTCAGACAAGAAACAAGTCAGAGCTCCATTGGTGAGGGCATGCTCTCTCTTAGCACACAAAGGTGTTAAGCAGTCAATTTAGAGACCACAGTTACACCACTGCCAGTCTTGCCAGTCTGCTCAGGCTGCCCAGAGAAAAGCGTTCCTATATCTTTACAGTGCTCGCTCAGTGCTGCTGTACACTGCACACCACCCTGACTGCAGCAGAGCTGGGTTACAAGGGTAACCTCCGACTGAGAGCCACACCCTCTTCCCTGCCCACGTCTATGGCAGCTCCCTAACCTCATTCTGTCAGACTAACGGGGACCAGCTTGCAGGCACAAAGGCATATCTGAACCCAGATCACTTTCCCAAGCATCATTAGGGAGCGATGACTCAGGTGGTTATGCCGGCAGTTCCAAGTGAAGGGAGGAAACACAGACCTAGAGCCAGTCCTCTTTCAGGCCAGCTCAGGTACAGCTAAGACTTTCCACCTGACTACAACCATGTGACACTGCTTGCTGTGACCTTAGCAGGGTAACCAACACGTGCTCTGCTTCTCTCCTTTCTAAATCAAACACTAAAAATCCATTGACCTAATCTCTGACAGCTCTGATGAGTTTTGGGCCAAAATATAGTAATACATTGTAAAGCCATTTTTTAAACTTTTACTTTGAAAACAAAGCTGAGTTAACTTCTCTAGGGAGAAAAAAAATACCCCCAGAGTCTTCTGACAGACAATGCTACAACTCTTATTAAAATCAAGTAAAGTCCAGCCTAAATCTTCACTCTATCTTTTATTACTTTTTTCTTCAATGTGTTTGCTTACTTAGAGACGCATAAGTTTTAGGGTTTGCAGTTGTTCTACAGAGCAAGTGTAACCTGAGAGCACAATGAGAAGCACAGGACACATGCACCACATTAGTTTTGAGCAGTACTACCTGAGCAAAGTACAGGTGGCAAAACAACTCTGTCATACAGGCAGGCTTGGGAGAGAACAGCAAGAGACAAAGCCTATATTTATTTACCAAAAAAATCCAAAACCAAAAACAAACAAACAAAAACTTTTCTGTGGCGTAGATGATCATCAAATGAGGGCTTGCCTGCACTGTTTCCTCTCTGAAATTAGACTCCAAAAAGATTGTGTTTATGCCACATCTGCTTACCTAGCCGTGTGATCCTAATGACACCAAGGCCCTGTTGCATTTACAGTGCTGCTGGCAATCGAAGTCCAATACCTGGCCTTGCTGCTGTTCAGATTTCTAAGCAAGTTCAACTGTGCTGACTTGCTTTAAGCCCACCATCTTCCTGTGTCCTGTTCTGCATGTAGGTGTGCTGTGTCCCCATGTGAAATTCAAACTTGGTGGGTAATAATGCTCCTACTTCCTCCAGCATCACAATGAGCCTTTGGATCCCTCTACAAAACCCAAACAAGCAGCAGCAAGTTGGCATCTCTGTTGTCTTTCAGGGACACTTCTTGAGGAGCTCAGATACCACTGTCACTCCATCTCTATTTCCTAGCAGGCATGGTAGCCTTGGTGGCTGGAAAAGGTGTGTCTGCTCATCCTCACACTATGTAAGACTAACAGGAGAGGTCTTTGGGCTCATGACAAGGCAGGCACAGGTGCAGGCTCTGCCTGCTGTCTGCAGCATCAGGACCAGCATAGCCAGATGTGCTTAAAGCACATCTAAAATGTGCTGAAGTGCTGCCTGAACTCTGAACTCACTCATTGCTCCCAGGAGAAGTCACTGTTTGTTTCTACCCCGTGGCAGCAGTGAATGTTTGAAGTTACAAAACTACCACTGGAAGCATCAACAGCATTAAGTGTCTAAGGACTGTTTATTTTCCCAGATGACTCAATATCCCCTTCTTAGCTAAGAATTACTCCTCAGCACTTTAAAATGTGTCACAAGCTAAGAAATTTTGCATGATTGATTATTTGGTATGAAGTATCCTGTTAGCAACTGAGTAAACAGGGGGGATGTCTCCCATTAGCAGGAGGGTTCAGGGTGGAGGGAAAAGAATGCATCTATGGCATGAAGAACAGCATTCAAGGGTGCAAATGTGTTCACAAGGAGTGAATCACAACTTTAGCTATTGTAACATGTCAGTTTCCTTTCTAGAAAGGAACAGCCAATAGTCTGGGTCTGTCTCCAGGTGCTCCTCAACCAGACCCAGTCCTAATTTGATCCCTCTGTGGCTGTGAACTTCATCTCTCCTGCCCTCAGCTTCCCCCCGTGGAGTTGCTAAATACTAAACAACTAAACTCTGAAGGGCACAGAAGCCATTCACTCCACCACACTTGGTGCTGCCACATGAACACTTCGAGTTGGTGCCAAAATTGAAGAGATGCAATAAATCAATGACAGCCATCAGCCCCAGTGTCCCCAGCACTTTTCTCCTTCCCAGCACAGGTTACCTCACACAGTGGGCCTTAAAAAGGCTCAGAGGAAGCTGCACTTAGGCATAGGGAATGCATATGATCCAAGTTTGCGTCTGAAGGTGGCTCTCCCCAGGTCACCAGGTTTCAGTGCTCACAAGTGTATGGGAAGAGTAACCCCATAACCTTCAAGCACAGGAAAACCTGTAGAATTCCCAGATATCTACCATCAGTACTGCCCAATTGAAAAAGGCAGGAGCACACTCCAAAACACCCTGGACAGGCAAAACATCACCACTTGCTTAGTACTTAGTCACTAATACACTCCTGACCACGGATTTATCTTTGAAGGGCCTTTTGCAGGTCATCTAGTCCAATCTCCTGCTCAAGCAGGATTAATTTCCAAGTTTTTCATGCTAAGCAAGAGCAGTATTTAAATAGACTATATCCTAAAATGAGAGGCCTAACACAAAGGCAACTATTGACATAACATTGGTCATTCATAGCTGCACCAAAGCAGCAATAAAGAACCATGCAGAAGAATCTCTTGCTGTTTCTACCCTGCTGCCCCTAATTTCTAGTAGTGGCTCTTTCTCATGAAAATCACAGTCACAGAGAAACTTTGCCACTCTCCACATGCCTGTTAAAAGTTATCACAGACCTCAGACAAGACCTCAAAGTAACATTCAGAAAAGGGTGAGGAATTTGTTAATCAAATATTCACTAAAATGACCCTATTTCTACCTCATTGAATTACTTTTGAGCATGCAATAACCTGCTACTGCAAATACTCTTCTCAAGGGCCCTTCAGCCTTACCCCATTCAATGCAAAAGACCGACATAAAATTCCAACAGTGCTCAACAAAGAAACTCTTCACCAGTTATAAACGTCTGGAAGTTATTTACCCACTGCACCATTTCCAAGTTCTCTAGCTATCACCTTCAGTGGTTTTCCTTGATATAAAAGAACTAACTTGTATTTACTGCAATCTTGAGTGGCTTTTGAATGGCGAAATTCTGGGAAGTTTCATCCCAGCTAATAAAATTGGAAAATACAAAAAATATATGTACAGTATTTTTATCAAATGCATGCAAACACTTGAGTAGACCACATCAGTGAACTGGTACAGAACAAGGACATGTGCCAGACAAGGAAGACAGGATTACATACTCACTTTGAATTAACATCAGGGCACACAGCACCAAGACAGGAAGCCCTGTGTCCCCCCAACACAAATTTCCATCACCTCCCTTATGCAGGCTTTAGCACTTATGTAAATCAGTCAGTTTTCACCTAGCTCAGTTTCTTGATCCAGCTCAACCTGAAGGCACATGAACACTGCTGCAACGGAATGTGGCACAACACAAGACCAGGACTTCTTCCATGGCCAACCCAAATTTATGTGGTGACAGCACCTCCAAAGAAACACCAGGAGGACAAGAATCTCTTGTCATTTCAGCAAAAACACCGGTGTGCTTCACAAGAATGGTCTGCATGAATCTGCTCTACTAATACAGCCATGGGAGCATTGAAAAGGTCTGCATCTGAACACTCCATAAACCAGTGCAACAGCTCTGACCGAGTTCTTATCAGGGATGTATACCCTAAAAAACAGTCAGGGCACCATTCTTACCTTGCCTGCATCCTAGAGGTAATGTAATTTTAAAGAGTCCTGTAACCTGGCAATCCAGTAGTACTTTCCTTTTTAATCACAAGTTTTGGAACTTACCCTTCTTCCCTATATTCCCAAGATCTGTAATTCCATAATCATTCAGCCATTCCTTTTCCTTCTTTCTGTTGGCAGCTCATCCACACAGACAGGCTCCATGGAAAACCAGTGGATGTTGCAAAGCAAATGCTGAGCCAACTACCCAAAGCCTGCTGTCAAAGCCAAGGAAACGAGGTAAAAATATTCTTCACTTTTATAACAGTGACCTGATCTGCACAGTCAAACAGTGGGGACCAACATCACCTTTATTCTTTTAAAAGATCAAAACAGACATGCTCCAGGCATCATAAAGATTTGAACTGCATCTGTCATCCATCATTTAAACACAGGAAATAAACCCAAGACAGTACACACAACACAAATGCCTAAACCCCTACTCTGCCACTGCAGATCTATTTATAGACAGTCTGCCACAGTGAGCTGCAGGAGCCAACTGTGAACTACGGGACTCAATCCATTCACAGCTCTCCTCATAAAGGAAACAATGTGATTAAGGGCTGCATGTGTTAAAAATACACAAGATAATCGCTACCCAGACATAATTGGTTTTATATTAATGACAGACAAAAAGGCCAGGATCCACAAAGAGGAATTAAATCTTTTTTTAAATCTGCTTATGTATATTAAACAGGATATTTACTGATCTAAGTTACCAACAGAAACTCATTACAGGTACATCTGTTAAAAATTTTGAAGCAAAACACACTAATCTCATTTTCCAGACCACACTCAGCAATGCCTAATAACAAAAGAGCTGCACACCTTTAAAATAAAACCTACTTCTGACTTTTTAAGTATCCAGAAGTAACAACTCTAAAGTACTTAACGGTATTTATTGTTCTATTATCCAAACACCTAAAGTCATCCTATATATTCATATTCACAGCACTGTACTGAACTAGGGAATAGTTATTCCCAGTGCACCAGCAGAAAACTAAGTTAGAGAGAGGACAACTGTGTGAAATCAAAGGAAAGGAGCAGTAGAGCAAGTACTCGATTAGGCACAAAAGTTCTCTCTGGTGGGCCTGTGGGGTATGAGGTGAAGCCAAGAATGGTCCCACCCCTGTCTCTGCCTTTTAGGAATTACATGTGAATTCAGAGAATTGCCCACTCTACCGTAATTTTACACTGCTATTACGTCTCAAATGTCTCTTTACTGGTTTTAGAAGTATTGAGGTCTCAAGACCAGTTAGTGAAAAGCCACAAGACCAGATTTGGCTCCCAGCCCTGACCTGGGTGGCCAGGCCCCAATCAGTAAGGTGCAATCACAACCCAGACAGCAGTAACCACACAGGGGGAAGCTGTGGCAAGAAGAACATAAGAAAGAAGAGGTGTGTAGCTGTGCCTCGACCATGAAAAAAAAGGAACAACTGACAACAAAAAATTATGGTGGCTCAAGGTCTTCCTGATAAAGCTGTACCAGAAAAAGATGCCTAATGCTGCCAGAATTCAGGCTTAAGAAAAACACGACCTGGAGACAAAGGCATGCTCACATTGCAAGGCAGTACAGAGCTACCTGCAGCTTTGCTGGCATAAGCCTCATTTCTTGCTCAGGAACTTCCCTTATCTCAGTCTCTCTCCTTCCAAACAAGACTCTCTCAGGCAAGCCTGGAGAGCTCTGGAACCAGAGAAGCCAAGAGAGCTCAGATGAACATCTGTGTCCTGCTGTTAAAAAGGCTGGCTTGCCTACCTGTTTTTACTACAAAGACTAAGTTATTCATGCTTTTAAGAAATATGTCATACTGTCTTTTCCCCAAAGTGCCTCCCCTTACTCACTGGACCTCCAAAAGAATTTTCTGGAGAATAACCAGGAGAGCACAGACTAGCACCCACACTTCCCGAGTCCCCATGACACACACGAGTAAATGCCACACTTGTCAGAACACAGGAATTTCGGTCTAACTTTGCTGCATGACTACTCATACCCAAAAAAGCCTAATCCTAGCATCGCAGCCCCACACGAACTCTGAGCAAAAAATCTCTCAGAACATGCAGGAACTTCAGAAGAGTGTTTTCCCTCTCTCCCAGGCCACACTGCGGAGGCCCGGACTGCAGTCCAGTGGGAACCGAGTGTGTAAGCGACACAAAGGCTCCAGCTCCCAGCTACTTCCGCGCGATGTCACCACCCACTGCCGCTCTGCGAGACACTCAAGTGACACTCCAACTCGCGCCGCGCATCTTCGGGGACAGCCTTTCCTTGTCCCTCTAGAGCAGCAGCTCATGCTCAGGGCTGACGCGTTCCTAGCCCTGTGCACAGAGCACCGGAGGCAGCTGCAAGCGGCTCCCTCCGAGGCACGGGCGGCAGGGCCGAAACCCGGGGACAGGGAGGGCACGGCCAGCCCACAGACGAGCACAGCAGCGGCACAGCGCCAGCGCCCGGGGCCCGAGAGGGACCGCCCACGCCCCGAGCCGCTCGACCACAGGGCTGTGTGAGGGCCCGGCGCCGGCCCCGGGAAAAAGCCAGCACGCAGGGAGCAGGCTGGCCCGGCGACGGGGCAAGGCCAGGTACCGGCCCTACTGGGCGCTGCAGTACCGAGCTACGCTTTGCTGTGCTCCCAGAGTCCCGTCCCGTCCCGTCCCGTCCCGTCCCGTCCCGTCCCGTCCCGTCCCGTCGCTCCCCAGACCCCGCCGCTCACCCCCGCGTGGAGCGCGCGCGCCCTACCGCTCAGCGCAGCCCCCGTGCGCACGCGCGGCGCCGCGGCCCCGCCCCACGCCCTGTGCAGAGCCGGCGGCTGCGCGCCCCGCCCACCGCCGGGGCCCCGCCCCCAGCCGAGCTTAGCCGAGCTTAGCCGAGCACAGCGGTCGCCGCTCGCTGCCGAGGGTGACGGAGAGCAGCGCGGTACCGCAGCGCCGGGGTCGGCCCGCGGGGAGCCCGTCCGCGCTTGACACGGGGTGAGGAGCCGCCGGTAAGCGGGCGGGAGCTGGGGCGCGGCGGGGCGCGGCGGTTGCGGCTCCTCTAGGCCTGGAGGCTTATTGGCGGCGGGGATGGGTGGTCGGCGGTGGCGCCTCAGGCCGTGCTGAGGCCGGGCCGGGCGCGCGGCTGTTGCGCCGAGCCCGCAGTGGGGGCAGCCGGGGCCGGGGGCGCCGCTGCCATCTTGGGGCGGAGCGGGGCTGGGGGCGCGCCCGGCGCGGCGCCCGAGAAGCGGCTTGAGCCGCCCGGGATTTGCTTCTGTCCCCCGGGCGCCTGTCCCTTGACGTCCCTCGCCTCGGCTGCTGTTGGGGACCGGGGTTTGTGCACCTCGGGGATCGCGGACCCTTGTCCGCGGCGCGCCCCTCTCTGCTGCGGTCGGCGCTTTTGTGCGTGTTAGGGCTCAGAGAGCTGCCTGCCCGCCCCCCGCCGCTCCTGCGGGCACCGCTGTGAAGGAGAGCAGCAGGGAGGCAGGAGGGATGTTCCAAGGGTGGTGGGAGTAGCGAGCAGGTTTCTGATGTTACCCTGCTTCTCCTCCTCTGGAATGCTTGACAAAGGGCTATCGGATGTGGCTCATGTCCGTGGCCAGATAGCCAAGCAGTCCCTTTTTGCTCTTGTCTCGGTCGCCAGCCCCTCCACATCAGCAAACATTATTTTTCCTCCTGCCATAGAGTGCACCCTTTATGTAGCTACCTGCTGGAGGGGGCATCACGCCAAAAATCTGCAATGTGGCTGCAGTCAGCCCAGTATTCTCAGCAGGTTTGGTAGCTCTCAGCTGGATGGAGAGCAGGTGTTATGGCAATTTGAGATTCTGGGCACCTCCCTCCCTTGCTCGTCTCGATAGTAGAAGTTAGAAACAAAAAGCCTATCAGTGTGTGCTCAGGGTGACTAATTTAGTTGGGCATAGTCCTAGAGGAGTCCCCTCTCTCCTATATTTGTCTTATACTGTGATCGTGCCCTGCTCCATGGTGTCATTCTCTGGAGGAAGCACACACGGAAGGCCATGGGCTATGGGGCAGGAGCAGCCGATTAGCAGCGGTCACAGAGCTACTGAAGGGTTGCATGGCTCAGGTGCCTTTTGGGTGGTGCTGCCGATATCCCACCTGAGTGTGGGATAGAGCCTTTGCAAGTGCATGGCAGGGACCAGTACCCCTCCCGTCCAAACAGTCGCACTATAGATTCCCTAATGGATTTTATTACTCTTAATGCGTCTAAGAGAGCACAGAGCTGACCACTCAGCTCGTAACTGACTCCAGGAAGACTCCATTCAACCAGAAATAGCAAAGCATTACTTCTAATGACTGCAATTAGCTGGTATCTACCGAGGAGGGCCTTTTTCATCTTCAGCCTTTTAGTAGTAGGAATACGCTATCTTTATGGGGAGAGAAGTCCATTCTGCAGTCTTTACCTGGATACCATAAGAGCAAAATGGAGGTTGGGAAGAGGCTCTGGTTTGACTCATAAGTATATTTTGTTGCACTAAGTTTGCTCTATTTTTGTCTATTCCTGTCTTTGGTAACCTTGGAAGGAACTGAAGCTACTGTATTTTCTGAGGGTGTCAGTTTTCATGTCAAGAAGGCATCGCCACGAGGCTTTGCAATGCTCCGTTTTCTTGCCCTTTGACCAGAGCGCAGTGAAACTATCCTGAATTGTTCTGAAGCCATGAGTTGAGCCAAGAAAAGAAAAATCCTGAGTGTGCTTTGCTTCTACTTTGTGTGGGGGTTTAATTTACTTTTTCTTCCTGGGCTTAAAATATCCTTGGTTATATTTTTCAGCTCTCTGCAGTAATAAAGTGGGCTAGGAACTTGCTTGGAGGGGGTTTTATATTGTTTATGTGGGAAAAAAAGTCTTCACGAAATCTCTTCATTCTGGGAACTAGAACTTCCAGAAAATCCCAGGTAGCCTGAGGTTTGCACTAAAAGCCTAGAGCTGGCAGTGCCCAGGCCCTGTTTTTTGTCTATTGCTAATTACACTTTGTGTGAGTCTCCGGTCACTGGGAGCCCCGCAGCCTCCTGCCGGCAGCTCCCCTGCCCCCCGCCCGCCCATCCGAACCGAGGTGCAACCCCAGCCTGCATCCTTTCAGTAAGCAACCCATTTCCATCCTGGTGGCTAGGGTGAGGCTGTGCTGAAAATCCAAGGACTGCAGGCAGCACCTCCCGCTCCCACCGAAGGCAGCTGGGACCTGTGTCATCTGACGTGAAGCCTGCGCAACCGTGTGCTGCTTGGGGAGGGAGGAGGCCCTTCGTGTAGGATACTCCGTGTGCGCTGCTAATTGCAGACAGCGCTGGTTATGGATCCTGTGGCTCATTTGCATATCAAAGCATCTGAGAGCTCTGCCGTGGGTAGGGATGGGCAAGGATGATAAGGCTTACTGGAGGCTGGGACCAGATCTTCCCCGGGGCTTTTTGTGGTGCACAGATGAGACAAGATGATGGGAATGTTTGGAAAATGGAGATCGTCTCCATGTCCTTGAATGACAGGACCATAAAGGCTTTTTTCATCTAGCAGCTGCTTTCCAGAGGATGGGAACCAAGCAATTCTTGGTGGCAGTCTCTTAGGCTGCTCCTTGCCTGCCTCCTCCTGCCACTGAGAGCTTGCTGGGTAGCCCTGCAGATGGACACACACTCCCCCCGCTCCCTATCATCTGGCAGCTCCTGCAGTAAATGGCCAGCGTGTCAGCCCGCTGCCTGTTCTCCACACTGCCTCTCACATAAGGAGGCAGAGGCCCTGCTTGGAGCCTCAAAGCAAAGGGGCAGATTTCCTACTGCCTGAACTGACTCTGCAGGGTCTCAGGTCTTTCCTGATGGCTCAAGAGGTGTTGGGGAGGGGGGACAGGGAATGGCAGAGCCTTGGATGGGCTGTAGTCTCTGAGATACTGAATGAGTCAGGCGAAGGTTTGGCTATGTCTAGTCTCAATACAGCTGTCTGTTCTTCCTCCTGGCTCTGGAAATGAAGCTGGGGAGCTTCAAGCTTGTTTGCAGGCTGAGCTGGAAACTGAAATGCAGGTTTCCAGGAAGGGAGAGAGGTGAGGGTCCCTGTGTCCCTCTGCCGTTTTGATCTTAGCAAGTGTGTTGCTGGTCCTGATGCTCTAGCTCCAAAGGACAGCACCGTGGGGCAGGTGGCCTGTCTGAAGGTAGCTCTAGTTCCTTGTGTAGTGCCTGCTGCCTGGAACTGCAGTCCTTGTCTTCTTTCCTGTGCCCTGTACAGCTCAGTCTCTTGCTGGGAAGACTCCTCACCTTCCTGTCCATAAGGCAAGTTGATGTGTGCAGGACCTGCCTTAGGCATGGCCTTCTCAGGAGGTACCTCTCTGCCTGCAGTCTTCATCTGTCAGAAGCATTCTGGCTTGTCCAGGGTAGTGAGCTGGGGGACAGGCCTGATGCATTGCCTAGGAAGTTGGTTAAAAGGAGAAAAATGAAAATCAAGGAATGAAAAAAAAATACATATGTATGTATGTATGCCTTCTGCAACAGAGAGAGGGTGAGATTCGTGAAATCGCTGCCAAGCTTGTAGAGCAAAGGCTTGCGGTATAAAATGGCTTTTCTCTGAGCCTGCAGGCCTGTGGTTGGCACTGCCTTCTCACTTCATGTCCTTCCAGCATGGAGCTGGGTGTCTGCCCTCTGCTCCAAATACAGATTAGCTGCAGGAAGCCTGAGGCTGACTTGCTATGAGAGATGCAGAACCCTTTCCTCCGTGTTTCTCTGCACAGCGTTCACTGCCCTTTTTACAGGGTTATGTTTGCATGCTACCTATTCCTTGCATGTGATTGCTAAGCAGTCCTGGAAAGGGTTCTGTTCTCCCCATGGCTCTTGCATGTTGAAATTGCCTGCCTGTCATTCTCCCTCTTAATTTTCACCCCCCTTCCTTTACTCCTTCTTAAAGCCGGATTGGGGAATGGAAACAGTTTCCCGGTATCCCAATGCTATTGTCAGGCCAAACTCTTGGAGTGGCTACTGAGTTTATATGGGCAAGATAGGCATCCTGCTGGCATAGCCCACTACATCTGAGCAAGGTCTCCCCTTCTTGATATGCTTTGGTCTAACTGTTGATGCCAGCAGCCTCTGCCCACGTGGTTATTGTGCTGGGAAGAGAAGAGAGCTCTTCTTTTATGCATGCTGTTTTTCCCCAGAGAAATTGGCTGTTGGTAGTACAGGTCTGGCGTAAAGCAAGGTTTTGAAGATTCCCATTTCTGTTGGCTGTGCTGTAGCATTAAAGAGAGGGCTGGATCTCTTAAAGAAGTGTATTAGAAAGGCAAGACATTGCATCAGCACAGGAGAAAAGAATCACAGGCAGGATTCATGCTGCCTGTTTTCAGTGTGTTCTGCTATTGCTTTTCTGGACCACCACAGCCATACTACTTTGAGCAGCAAGCAGAAAAACCTCCCTGCCTTTCTCTGTCTGGAAGAGTGACTGTTGCAGACCTTTCCCATGTCTGTTCCCTCTCACTCCCTGGAAGGACTGTATGCCCCCAGAGCTATCCATGTCCCTTCCCTGGGTGTGCTCGTTGCCTTTGCACCCCTGTAATTTTTTGTGCAGAGAAGTTGCTTGTTTTGACATCCCCTTCCCAAGCATTGCTCTCTCAGGTTTCTGTGCAGGTCTCTGTTTCCAGCTTAGTGCAGAGGATCACTCTTCAGCTGCCACCAGTGATGTGACCTCTGGCTCTGTGGCCATGTCATGTTGCCTGTGGGGAATTGTTGTGCTTTCTCCTGTAGACCTGCATGGAAGAACTGTTCTGATTGGCTCCCTTAAATCTTCCACCTTTTTTCTGATGTATTGCTGACACGGGTCAGGAGGAGAGTGGTATTCTTACAAGTGCAATTTTGCACAAGAGTGCATTTGGTGGGAGAGTTGTGTGCTGGCCTGGCCCTGCTTTTTCCAGATAAACAGTGGCCTTTAGTAGACTTTATTTCATGTCCCTTCAAAGTCAGAGACAATCTTGGCATGATCTTGTACTTAGAGGAAACTCAGATGGCAGCAGGCCTTGTCT